TGGGACCATACTAGAGTTAGGCGTGCGGGGATATGTAACAGCTGTATTTTCTAGATTTCCTCCCAAGCCACACCCTGCTTGGAGTAGAGGATTGGGCTCTTCAAATTGTCAATTTACAGTGTGTCTTTGCTTTATTTTCTTCAGTTTAAGGCATCTTGTATACTTATTCTGCCTCCTCCATGTACATTTTCTGCTCTTTGGATTTATCTCCCTCCCCAGGTTGGCTTCATGTTTAGGGTCTTCATGACTTTGTAACCACAGGGTGGCTGGGGAATCTGCATGTGGTGCTGATGGTACCTAATCAGTTCTGAGCTTCCCCTAGAGGCATGTGGCACCCTGGGTTTGGCCAGAGTGGCGGCCACTAGTGGCGGCTCCTGTGGTCACCTGTACCTTTCTGGATGTCTCCACCCCCCCAACCCCTCCTTCGTGAGCTGTGGGTAGAAGAAATAAGGACTCCACTTTCTGACCTCAGACCCTCTAAACCTGATTCCCTGACATCCTCCCTGACCCACCCCTTAACCTGAGACTCCCTGCAGGCCAGAATGCTTCCCTCTGCCTCCTCTTCTCCAGGAAGAACTGTTGCTAGGTCAGATTCTCTTTCCAAGTTGTACGTAAGAAACCAGTTCCTCCTAGTATCTGTGGATGCGGGTGTGATTCCATGTCACTCTAGCTCCAGGCTGGTATCTGTGGATGTGAGTGTGATTCCATGCCACTGTACCACCAGGCTGGTATCTGTGGATGCGGGTGTGATTCCATGCCACTCTAGTTCCAGGCTGGTATCTATGGATGTGAGTGTGATTCCATGCCACTGTACCACCAGGCTGGTATCTGTGGATGCGGGTGTGATTCCATGCCACTCTAGCTCCAGGCTGGTATCTGTGGATGCGGGTGTGATTCCATGCCACTGTACCGCCAGGCTGGTATCTGTGGATGCGGGTGTGACTCCATGCCACTCTAGTTCCAGGCTGGTATCTGTGGATGCCGGTGTGAGTCATGTCACTCTAGCTCCAGGCTGGTATCTGTGGATGCGGGTATGATTCCATGTCACTCTAGTTCCAGGCTGGTATCTGTGGATACGGGTGTGATTCCATGCCACTGTACTGCCAGGCTGGTATCTGTGGATGCGGGTGTGATTCCATGCTACTCTAGTTCCAGGTTGGTATCTGTGGATGCGGGTGTGATTCCATGCCACTGTAGCTCCAGGCTGGTATCTGTGGATGCGGGTGTGATTCATGCCACTCTAGCTCCAGGCTGGTATCTGTGGATGCGGTGTGATTCATGCCACTCTAGTTCCAGGCTGGTATCTGTGGATGCGGGTGTGATTCCATGTCACTCTAGTTCTAGGCTGCTATCTGTGGATGTGGGTGTGATTCCATGCCATTTTAGTTCCAGACTCCAGCCCAGCCCTGACACTACAGCTCTGTGATCAGGAGCATGAGTTCTGCAGCTGGATATGCCTGGCCTCAAGTCATACCCCTCGATTCATTGTCAGCTGGTTTCTGGCACCTCCTCCCTGCCAGGTTCTGCACCAGGCTTCATCCCCTTTTGGGAAGTGCAGCACAGGCCACCTGCTCTGTTGCTCATGGCGCTATCTATAATATGCAGGGAGGCACTGAACTCCTGAGCTCCTGTGTAGATGAAATGCTAAGTGTATGCCAAGAGCCTACCACCTAATAAGATCTTCATGTTACCCCCCGTTATTAGTTTTGGATCTCATTTCCCCATCTGGATGTGGAAAGAAGATCTGTGCTCAAAGATGATCATAACATGTATTTGGGACAATGTATTTACAAATTCCTGAGAAGAATGTAAGGTGGACAACATGGGTCTGATTGTCCTAGTTCAGGCCCAGGAGGCTCTCTCCACAGGCAGAATGGCACTGGTGGAGGCTCAGCTCCCCCTGAGTGACAAAGAGCTCAGGCTGCACCCAGGAACCTGCAGCACCCAGAGGCTTCCTGCAATGCATGGCATTGGGTGGCATGGCTAGCTGGATGGCTCTCGGGGGCCTTGTATCCACTCTTCCTATTCGGCAGTGAGGAAACAAGCCCAGAAAGAGCAATCAATTCAACTAAGGTCACCACGCAGACAGAGGCACAGCAGGCTCAGGAGCCAGACCTTCCCAGGACCATCTCCAGCCTCTGATTTAGTCCTCTGCCACCCTGCCTTTTATCAAAGTCCAGATCCTCTACAGGACAGACTGGGTCAGAGTGAGGCCAACCCAGTAGGGCCACCCTAGCAGGTTGGGTCCCAGAGATCCAGGGGACAGGGTTCGCCCTTTGACTCTTTGGCGGATAGAAGAGGGGTCTTCAGCTTGCAGAGCTAAAAGGCCACCTCTTCTTCGGGGAGCATCATGTGTCTTTACTCTCAGGTTGGTCCACAGTAGTATTGGGAGCACATGGCTCAAAATGGCACGAAGGAGAGACAGGTGCATGGCGAATTGATTCATTTCCTGTGCAGCAAACACCTCCCACCCTTGGTACCATGCTTCTTGTTTAACCTGTACGGTGCTGTGACATTTACTGAGAACACCCTAGCTGCCGAGCACTGTGCCCAGATTCTGTCGTCGTCAGCACAACCAAGAGTTGGTGTGATTATCCCTCTCTTACAGTTGGGAAACCTGAGGCTCAGAGAGGTTGAGTGACTGCCCTGTCCACACCCTTTGCTCAGAGTACCAGCTGAGAGAGGAGGTCTCCCCACCAGAAATACTCTCCTTCTCCACTTCCTTCTGTGCGCCCAGGAGGCTGAACTACATTGAGATAGGCAGAATAATGGCCCCACGAAGATGTCCATGTCCTCGTTCCTGTGAATGTATATGTACATGGAAAAAGGGAATTAAGGTTGCAGATGGCATTGAGGTTGGAAATCAGCTGACCTTGAGACAGGGAGATTGCCCTGGATTACCTGGATGAGCTCAATGCAGACACAAGGGTCCTTTATGGCAAGGGGGAGGCAGCAGGTGTCAGACTCAGGGCAATGCAGTGTGAATGTGGGTGGCCTCTGGAAGCTGGGCAAAATAAGGGGAGAGATTCTCTCCTGGAGCTGCCAGAGGGATGCAGCCCTTCTGCACTTTGATTTCAGGCCTCTGAGGCTTGTTTTCACATCTACGTCTGACTGTCAGAGCTGTAAGATGATACATTCCTGTCGTTTTCGGCCACCAAGTTTGTGGTTGTTCATTGCAGCAGCAAGAGGAAAGTATGCAGATACAAACAGCCTCCCCTGGCTCCCTCGTGCTCTGCTCCCAGGAGTTCTGTCCAGTGGGGAGCAAAAGCAGGAGATTGGGAGGAGGAAGAGGGAGAGATTGAGGTGTTGACCCCCCCCACTGCCTCTCTGTAGCATCATTGAGGTCTGGAGCTGTCCCTTGACCAAAGGCCCTAGCTCCTGCCTGCAGCCCTCCCTGCACAGCCCTCTCCACTTCAGTGCCAGGAGTGGCCCTGCCTCTTGCTGTGTGGGGCTCTGGTGTAGCCCACTCTCCCTGTGGTTTCTCTACACTCTATGTCCCCTTTGCTGATAATTCCTGTATGTTAAACCCTCCTCAGGTCACCTGGTCATCAGTATCCTGCCATGATCCTGACAGATGATACCAATGGTCATGCCCACGGCTCCACCTTCCGTGGAGGGGTAGCCCTGCCAGGGGTCCTCGTCCAATGCTCAGGGACGTCTTATGCAGGCGTGTTTCCCAGGGGCCCCAGCACTCTCTTCCCCTTCTATCTATCCATAGCAATCTTACCCACCACTGCTTCCTTTCCCTTTTTGCCTCCAGGGGTTACAACCTCTTTTGGATAAATCGAAGTGTCTTCTTTGAACCAGAAATAGTTCTGCTTCTCCTTTGCCTGGTTCTGCCTGGCAGAAGTGACCTTGTTTGGCATCACCTAATGGAGACTGTCAGGGTTAGAAATGGCTCGAGGAATGGGCTGCCTGCTGTGGGGACACATCTGAACAGGATTGCCCAGGGGCTTAGGCTGCAAAAGACCCACCTCAAAACCCATTACACACTAAAGAGTGTTTGTTTTCTCATGTAAGAGGGAAGCCTGGAGGTAGAGTGGTCCCAGCATCAGCCAATTTGCTTCCTTCACTCTTCGTCCTTGACATTTTGGCTTGTTCTTTTGGTCAGTTACCTACTAATAAATACCCTTGACAGGATGCCCAATTGAGGCATCACGTGCTTTCAGCAAAGGCAAAAATTAGAATGTTTTCTGCCTGCCATCTCTTTCTATCAATGGAGAAAAATCTTTCTAGAAGACTCGTGTCCGATTTCCCCCACTATCTCAGTGGTCCTGGGCTGGGCCAGTCACCGTGACTACCCATGTGAGTAGCCTCCGCCCCAGCCCAGGTAGTATCTTTCACGTGGATCAATTTGCTTTCTTTAGAGCATGGATCATACCTGCTATCACCCCATTTATCGATCATCTGTGTCCTCTACTGGCATGTGAGCTTTTTGAGGGCAGGGACTCTGTCTAGTTCACTTCTGTATCTGTTTGCAGTCCCTGGTCCTGAGACCAGAATAAGAGACCTTCAGGCGATATCTGATGAATGAGTGAGGTAGTGAGTCCTTTAGAACCCAGAAAGGCACATACGACTGACAGCACATCCCTTCCCTATATGAGGATAGAAGAAGGATGAGGAAGACATTGTGTTTCCAAGTTCTGGGAGCCCCAAGGCTGGGCATTTTGCAGGCATCCTTGACCATCTCCACATGGTGTTCAGGGCTGACCTCAGAGATTTTGCAGGAGCTCCCTAAGGCCTCTGCCTTGGAAAATTCTCTTAGTTTTTTCTTTTTGTTTTGTTTTGTTTTTTACAAAGGAAAGATATTTATGCGCAAAGCTACTTATCTTTGTAGCAGTTGCAGATAAATCTTCTAATTTACTGGGGAGCTGACGCCTTCCGAGAGCCAAAATCAATGTGTGTCACTGTAAATCCAGGCTGGGCCTCAGCATCCACTCACACCAGCTGATTGATGGACTTTGCTTTGGCACCAGGCTTGGCTGGTGGAAAGATGGGGCAGTTGCTGTTGGCAGGCTCCTGGAAGCCTCCTTCTGGGCCAGATCCTGTCTCCTCACCTCAATTCTTCCCAACTCTCATGTTCCCAGGTTAGCCCCATGGCCCACGTGGCTAAGCCCCTCCTGTTTGCTCATCAGTGCTCAACTCATCCTACAAAGCCCAGCTGAGATGCTACCTGCTCCTGACAGCCTTCTTGTAGTGGCCTCTTTGGAGTTAACCTCTCCTTTATGTTTCCCTGGAGATGTGTCTGCAAAATGCTGCTATGACAACCAGCTTCAAATGGTAAGGTGGCATGCACCTGCCACTTCCATAAGACAGGAGTGCTGTGAGCAGGGCATTCCAAGCCCCTGTTCATTCACTGAGCACTGACTGTGCCACTCACTGTTCTTTGGGTCCAGGGATGGATAAGACACAGGCCCTGTCCTGGAGGGTACCCATAGTCTATTCAGATTAATCAGGAAGACCAAGAAGAAATTAGATATCACAAGGGTTCTAGGAGAGGGTGAAAGATGGGAATATATGGTCAGGACGCTTGGATAAGACTAAGAGGTTAGGCCAGCATCCCCCAGGAGGCTGTGATTGTACTGAGATCCAATAGGAATTAGTCAAGTAAACAAGGGGAAGAAGGATGACCCAGGCTGTTCTGGAGGGTTCTTTTGGCTGGAAGGTGCCGAGAGTTATTTTGAAGCAGGTTATTTCCCTGACCTTTTCATGGGCAGGAACTGGAGTGCACAGGCACTAGAACTAGCTCGCTGCTTCGGTGCTGGTGGGGCTGGACTCCACCCACTCAGTCCTGCTGCATTCCACCCCTTGTAGGAGGGGAAGTGCAGGTGAGTGGATGCAGGAACTGGGGTGAGTGCTTTTGGGTGCTGGCAGTGTTTAGGGTGGTGCCTGCAACCCCTGAAGCCCCAGAAGGAGCGTTACAGTGCCGTTACCAGTGCCGTTTGTGGACGGCTTAAGTGTTAACAACTCAGTGGAGGGTCAGTGTGACAACCTTTTGCTACCACACTTGTAACACCTGAGTTCTTGTCCACCCTTGTCCACAAGAATAAATAATCCACCCCTTGTTTACCATCCAGGAGAAATCAGGTTGCAGGAATGAATTGGAGATGGTAAATATGGGGGATTTTATTGCCAATGGAAGTGACTCTCAGGGGGAAAGGGAGCTAAAAGGAAAATGGAGCGGGAAGGTAAGCTTCCCCTGGAGCCCAGCTGGGGACTCTCTGAAGCTACATCATCAAGCTGTCCCTCTGAAGTCAAGCTGCTTTTCTCCAATATCCAGCTGTAGTATCCTATGTCCAGCTGCTTCTCCTCTCTGCAGGATGAGTTCTGGGCTTTTTACAGGCAAAGGATAGCGGGTGGGGCGGGCCATGGGTTGTCTTGGAAAAGGCAACATTTGGGTGGGGAAACAGGGATGGAATTTCTCACTTTGGGCCCTGGTATGAGGCTTTTTGGCTTGAGGGTGGGCCCTTGCCGGGGCCCCACCCTCTTCGGCCCAGAATTTCCCTGCTTCCTGTCCCTATCAGTTTGGGCCACCTTAAGGAAGGGTGGGGAGAGGGAGGGATGTCTGAGGCCTGGCGTGGGGTGAGAACTCAGTGACCCCCTCTGTCTCTTTCTGTCACAGGCCATGTGGTTTTGCTCTGGAAATGTGTCTGCTTCCTTCTTCTGACTCTAAGTGCCTGACTGGCCTGATCTCTACTCAGCACCTCTTGTCTAGAATTCAAGGCTTTTGTTTGCTTTTTATTTCCTGCTTCAGTGTTCGCTAGGTTCAACATGGTCTCTCCACTCATGAGCTTTCAGCTGGGCATTGTCAGAGATTAACATCTTATCATTTTTCATGGAGCAAATCAATGGCCACCCTTCCTGGCTAAGAACCCTGGGTTTCAACTTCTCTCCCAGCAGAGGGGAAATCCCTGAGCCAAGCCCTGGCGTAGAGGAACTGTCAGAGTCGTTCGAACCAGAGCAACTCCATCCTGAATAGGGGCTGAGTAAATTAAGACTGAGACGTACTGGGCTTGCATTCCCAGACGATTAGGCATTCTAAGTCATAGAATGAGATAGGAGGTCAGCACCAGGTACAGGTCAGGGAGACTTCACTGACAAAACAGGTCACAGTGAAGAAGCCTGCCAAAGCCCACCAACACCAAGATAGTGACGAGAGTGACCTCTGGTCATCTTCGCTGCTACACCCCCACCAGTGCCATGATGATTTACGAATGCCATGGCAATGTCAGGTTATCCTATATGGTCCAAAAGGGGAGGGGTGAATAATCCACCCCTTGTTTAACATCAAGAAATAACCATAAAAGTGGGCAACCAGCAGTCCTTGAGGCTGCTCTGCCTATGGAGTGCCCATTCTTTCATTCCTTTAGTTTTTTAATAAACTTGCTTTCACTTTATGGATTTGCCTCAAATTCTTTCTTGCATGAGATCCAAGAACCCTCGCTTGGAGTATAGTTTGGGACCGCTTCACAGTAACAAAACTTCCTTTAGGTCCTGAAATCCTTTTTCTTTCCAATAGTCCTCATTAGAATGCAATTGCTTCTGGGACATGGGACAAGTAGTTTGTTCCAATCATTTAATACCTGAGACAGGACCAGTGGTCCCCTTGAGACCTTCATTACCCCTTGGCTCAGGCTGGTTTCCCTAGGAGGGAGGGGTGCAGGTAAGTGGGTGCAGGAATCAGGGTGAGTGCTTTTGAGCACTGGCAGGAGTGAAAGTCCATGCGGATCTGGTTGGGTTCACCTGAGGGGAGGATCCAGGTGTGTGTGATTTAATGAGGAGGGCAGCTCTTCAGGAAAAACCTGTAAGGGAGTAACAAGGGTGGGGTATGGTGAATTCTGTGCATCTTGGCCATGCTCCAGTACCCACTAATTCCAACTAATTCCATTACACGTGGATCTAGGTGTTGCTGTGAAGGTATTTTGCAGATGTGGTTAACATCGACAATCAGCTGACTTTAAAGAAGTATTATTCCAGATAATCTGGATGGGACATTATCCAATCAATGAAAGACCTTAAGAGCAAAACAAAGGTTTGCCTGAGGAGAAAGAGACACCACTGCTGATCTCCTTCTGGACCACCTGCAGATTTAGACTTGCCAGCCTCCAAAACATGTAAGCCAATTTTCTGAAAACCCTGGAAAACCCTGACTAATACAGGTCGGGTGGGGAAGGAGGGGAAAGTTGAAAGTCTAGCTGGGGCCTTATGCTGAGAGGGTCTCTGGAGGGTAAATCGCTGCAGAGAATCTTCCCTGCTTGAGACAAGGGACTGTGCTTTTGTATGCCTGCCCTAGTCCATCACTGGCCACCCAGGGGCAGGTGTGTGACCCCCCAGCATCCTTGTCAGATAGAATTCTCCACAGCCCTCCAGCAGCTGGGACTTGCGTGCACCGAGGGTACAGAGATCCAGCTGGTCCCTGACTCATCTCCTCCCTCCCGCACCCCAGAGACCCCGGAGAGTGGAAACCATCCCTCTCCCTTCACAGATGAGGATCCTGAGGGCTACAGCCAGAATTCAACCTCAGGCCTAATGCCAGAGCCAGGTGCCTCTTCAGGAGGCTGGAATGAGACGGAGCTTAGCCTCTCCAGTCTTCCCTAGCCACCCTCCCACCAACCCCTCCTTCTCAGTGACAGAACATCCTCTGTCATCTCAGTGACATTCGTCTTCGTGGGCAGTTAGCTCTGTAACAACATCTTTCGGTCCACAGCAGTTGTCAGCGATGGTGAAGGGCACTTGTTGGCTGAAACATGGCTCTGCACATTATCAGGTGCTGGTTGTCTCCACTTGGAGGCCTGGCCCTAATTTATTGCCAGGCTCAGGTGCTGTCAGTGAAGGGACACAAAAGGCCCAGCCCCTGAACGCAGCCTGGATTTTACGTAGCCCCCTCCCACCTTTCTATGCAGGAGTCTGTGACCCACAGCCCTCTTCCATGGCCCTGTCTAGGGCAGGCAGAAGCACCCTCTTTTCCTCATTCTTAGGAAATAAGTACTTAAGGCCCCTCCTCTGGGCTAGTCCTTCACTATCGGCATGAAGCCTGGAAAACTGGACGGAAGGAGAGCAAGCAGGATGTGTGTTTGTTTTGATTCTGGCCCTTTCTCCAACCTTGGTAAGTGGTTTGATATCCCTGAGTCTTAGCTTTCTCTGTGTAATAGGGATAATGTTATCCAGCTCACGCGGTGTTGAGGGCATTAGATGTAGCGTATGTCATAAGGTAAGCTGAATTCTTAACCCTGATTCTCCACCCTTTGCCATATCCAGGACCACTGTCAGGCAACTGCAATTCCTCCACTGAAAAACAGAGGAACTTCCCCACCATTTGACCTTGGGCTCGGCCATGTGGCTTATTTGGACCAGTGGAATATTAGTAGATGTGACAATGTGCCCATACAGCAGGGCTTGTGGTCTTCCACTTCCGTTGTCACCCAGAGAAGAACATGCCCTGGGCCAGCCCATTTGCCCAAGAGAGTGAGAGACGTGGAGCAGATCAAGTAGCACACCTGCAGACCTACAGCTTGAGGAAGAGCCTCCAGATCAAGTGCTGCCAGGCTCACCCAGACCCCAGGGTATCCCTACGGTGTGTGACAAACCAATGCTTATTATTGTATATCACAGACTCTGTGGTTGTTAGACTAATATGTATATAAAAGCAACTCATCCTGGCACACAGTAGGCATTCAACAGATGCTGACTGATATAAGAAGGTATAAAATATATATGGTGTGACATTCTCGGTTGTCACAAATAAATGAAGCATGAACGAATTAACGGTGATAACTCAGAAGCATTTAGAAATGTTACTCTAGGGCCAGGCATGGGGGCTCATGCCTGTAATCCCAGTGCTTTAGCAGGCTGAGGCAGGAAGATCGCTTGAGTCCAGGAGGTCAAGGTTACAGTGAGCTATGATTGTGCCACTGCACTCCAGCCTGGACAACAGAACAAGACCCTGTTTCTTTTAAAGAATGTTACTTTAGAGAAGAATCGCTTTCCCCAAATAGGGCATCTCTTCTTTGCTTAATAATAAAGTAATAGAAGTGATATTGGACCCTTTCAATCTAACCCGGGTCAGGTGCTGCCTTCTAACCTCTATTGATCAAAACTCTACTTGCCCCATTTAAATGCAATTACTGTTTCCACTAGCCTGTGAGCCCTGAGGGTGGAGATTGAGTCTTTATACAGCCTTGGAATCCCCAGAGCCAGGTAAGCCCAGCAGAGAACTGGTTCTTTCTGTGTGTGTAAAACTACTGACCTGAATAGCTCAGTGGAAACATTTTGTTTTAAAATCTCCCTGTGGTCCTGTCCTTCAGGGAGGTGTCACCAGTCGCAGAAGGCCAGATAAGACCAGCTAACGCCAGCGTGTTTGAGGGTTAGCAATGCTAGATGGAGGCAGTAAGTCCTGGGTCTCCCTTGAATGGGGCTGGCCCACAGTTGGATGAAGGAAAAGGTGTGGCTGGCGTTGCCGCGCCTGTCCTCTTCCTGCTCCCCTTGCCTTATCTTAGCCACAGACAGGGCTTGGCTTCCCTGAGAGCCCAGCCCTGCAGTGGTAGCTGCCTGCCTGGCTTCGCCAGCCCTGCTGAGGGTCAGTCTCAGGCTCAACCCAGCTGGCAGATTAGGCAGATTGTCAGCATTTACAGGCAGTGGCAGGTGGGGTCTGGGAGTCCTCAGAGCACCCAAGCCCAGCGTCAGGTGTGCCAGGAGTAAGCCTGGTACTTACAAGACCACCACCAACAACAAGCTTTTTTGCTTTGTCCCAAGGTGCATGCTTTTTTGTAAACCAGCGTTTTGCCTGAGTTCCTGTCTTTTTGTTTTTGCCAATTTTCTACTTTATCTGAAGCCCAGTGCCGAACCTCAGCAAATGCTGCAGAGCCCTGACTACCTGACTAGCCCTTGAAGCCCACGTTTCTGAGATTGACCCCCTATTCCTATGAACTATGCTGCCCCTAAGCTGCCATTGTATCCTCATCTCCTGGCCTGGTACCCTGGACCAATATGTGCTTGTTGAATGAATAAATGAAACAAGATAGAAGTCTATGGCTTCTAGAACTGCCACAGAATGGGCTGCTGCTTGCCACATTCAACCCTTCAGTATATCAGCTTTTATGGGATTTAAGCTCAAGTTCTCCAGGCTCCTTGAACACTAAAAATTGGATATCTGGCTATCTCTAGGGACCAGCTTTAAAATGGGGCCAGTATATTCAGTTCCAGTCTCCTGCCTTTCCCAAGGGCTTATTGCTGAAATTCCAGCACAATTCTACACCAATGGGAGCTGCGCTGTTAGTGCACGAGAGTGCTGGGGAGCAACTGTGTTGCCCATGATTTAATTGCTTCTAGGGTACCAAGGGTATGATATTTTCCAATATGCCAATGAGAGAGCAGCACACACACCCAATATCACTTAAGGTCTTATACATATCAATTTTCCTGGGGCAGTGTCACTTCCGGCCTATTTCCCTAGCATAATTAATACTAGACTCCCCCTTCGCACTCATACGTGCTTGTTTCAGATGATATATTGTCATCAATTTTATCCCAATATGCTAGGACGTTTTGCTTGCTGGAATACATTTTCTAGTTCTAAGAGGCTCCAAACTATAACGTTCATTTATGGCCTCCCCCAACCCTGTCTCAAGGTCTGTGAACTTTCCCAGAATAAATAAAGCCGTTAGTAATGTCTTCAGGGTGGGGAGATGATTTCCACAGCTGGTTTGGAGTAAAGATGCACAGTTCTCCCAGATCCTCTGATCTCTGGCTTTCATGAGCAGCCTCAGCAGGCATTTTCTGCAGCCTGAGGCTGGACAACAGTCAATACACCATTGATTACAGCCATGTTACAGCTGTACAAATCAGTCCCTGAGATCCTAACATTTGTCCTTTAACTTAATTTAGCGAACATCGATTGAATACCTGGTTTTAAGCAAACACTGGATGACTTCAGTGGTCCTTTTCCAAATTTGAGGTTTTTTGTTTATTTGAACTTAAACTACCATAAGAGAAAGAGCTGTAGTTCTGTTAACACATTGCTTTAGGTACCTATTGCTAAAAACTTGTAATTGTGTATGTACTTATTCTGGTAATTACGAGGTCAGTTCTACTAAACCAACAAGGAGGTTAGTTAGGGGTGCTAATTCCCCTATACAGTCAAAACTCTGCATATTTAATAAGTTTTGACTACTCCAAAATTTAAACTACTAATTGGCCAGAAGCCTTGCTGATAATATAAAGAGTCAATCAGCACATACTTCGTATGTTATATATATTATATGCTCTGTTCTTATAATAAAGTAAGCTACAGAAAAGAATGTTATTAAGGAAATCATGGGGAAGAGAAAATATATTTACTATTCATTAAGTGAAAGTGGGTCATCATAAAGGTTTTCATCCCCATCAGAGGTGCAGGTGG